GTTTCTTTTAATCACATTTTGAGGTACAGTACACTAGATTTCTGAGAGTGCAAGGAGGAGAAAACTGCTTGGGTATAGATTGCATATATTCTCAGAATAAAACTCCTAGTGCAAGGCATTTTTAACCAAAATCTTTCCCTTGTCTTGTCCATTGCAGTCTCTATGGCAAGCTAACACCACTCTGTCCTTCTCTACAAAACCAGAAGTGACGAGGACTGGACTTAGAGTGAAAAAAAGAGTCCCCAATTCATTTTACGCTTGAGTAACTGAAATGCAAACAGCTTCATCCAGTGCTTGTCCAAAGCACAACCTGGAAGACAGGCAGAACCTGTGGCTGTCTGGAGTAGTTTTACCTAACAACACTCTGACAAAGAAAAGATGGGAAGGGGTTATAAAGGAAGAAGGAACAACATCTCATCTCACTTGGTGTCATAAACCAGTGTGGATTTTTTTCCCCAATATTTTTAACATCTCTTAAACAGCTCAAGATACATAGCCACTAGCATTTAGTTCACAGACACTGAAGTAAATCAATCAAACAGGCCAATCCATTAATTCTGAAACAATAACAACAAAGTCAGCAATCCTCTGGTACCAATAAGGGAACCAACAAGATGCTTGCAGATTTCAGCCTCTGCTGAATTATCTTCCAGTACAGTCCTCCCATCCGTATCTCTAATGTATCTACCGAATACTCTTAAGAGAGTAAATACACAGGTTATAGTCCCAAACCACCTCACCGTACCTCTGATTTTGATTTTTTAACTGTCTTGGATAAACATTTTAGCACTGCAATTGCAATACCTCTGCTGTAATTCTCAAGACAAACAGTGAGACGTCCTTTCCGAGCTTATGCTGACCTTTATTTGATCTATCAAATTAGGAGGAACAAAATCTGCGAACTACTCAGATACATTAAATCAGGAGAAATGTTCTTTAGACAATCACACAGCACTGTACTCTACTCACTTATCCTGTGCCAACTCCAACAGTTCACAACCAGTTGAAGGAAAACTTTGAAACTTGCAATTTAATATTCTGTAAGACAGACCTTTTTTTTTTTTTTTGCTGTTATGTTCAAATGATGTTCTTATCTGCTAATAATGGCCTTTGCTTCTAATATCTTTGTTACATCAGAGAACTCGTCAATAGCTAGCACTTTCTTCTAATGAAGGTATTTATATACAACTAGCATTCCTTTAGGTACTTTTAAAAGTACTCAAATCTTTGAAGTTTCTTTTGAGGCATTTCTCAAGCCCTAAGTGCACATATTCAGCCTTTTCTGCAAACTATTTGATTATTAAAGTCCTGTTCAAAATGTGGACATCAGAAGCGGATATCACACTTGAGTACGAGCCTCATCAATAACACACTCAGAAGTTAAACCCATCTCATCCTACTATCTGCCATTCCAGTTTACATTTATAAAGTCTGAATTAGCTCTTTATGCCACAGCACCAGTATAGAAGATCAATCTGAATTATTCATTCACTGACTCCTAAATCTTTTCCAGAGTTGCTGCATTTCATCACACAGTCCACTCTGACCTGCATTTCCAATTTTTTAACAGATAAGTGGGGCTACTTTAACGAGAACTTCACTCATTTGATGGGCCCCGCTTACCAAGTAATGCTGAAGAAGTCCCAGCACCTGCCTGGCCACACTTTGACTACTTCAATACTTAGGTGTCACTTGTACATCAGTAATGATTTTACAGTTCTTTCCGGATCACTGAAAAAAGTACTCAGTATTGCCTAGATATGTCAACCCGTCAACTTCCTTAAAAGAAAACTCTGTGATGTCCTTTTATCAATCTTCTCTACCTTCTCATTTACTATTTTCATAGCAATAATTTTACATTATTTAACTGTATTTCAGTTCCCGCTGGTTAAAAACGTATCTGATTTAAACTCAACTGATTTTTCCATCATAAAATTATAATTCTGTAGGTTATTAATACGTTCTTTTTAAGGTTGTTATTGGCTGTTGGGTTTTTTTGCTTGAAAAACCCTAAACAACAATTCTTTATTTCAGGGTCTGATGTGACTGACTGAAGCAGGATATTTTTTTTTTACTGTCTACTACATCACTATTTTCACAAAAGTACAGAAACAAAATGCCAAAATAAGGAATGCAATTTTGGCATTACATTTAAGCAATGACAAGGAATATATTCTGATTGTTAGGTATCCACAAAAAGTTTGTTACTCTTCACCATAATCAGTTCTTTACCCCTCTCTTCTAAACAGTATTTTTGCACTTTCAAATACAATACTCTCGACTTTTGTCACAGGTCAAGAACTTGACATTTTTTACAGTGTGTTCTACAAGGCACAGCTCAGCAGCAGAACTACATTTCCATTAGTACCAGTGACACTAGTGGACAGAGCTGTGATTTATTAGGCAAAAGGGAGCAGCAAGGACTAATTGGCTGGATGAGGACACACAAGTGTGTGAGAGGAATGCCTAAACAACAGAGAACACATGCAAAGGTAGCTTTTCCTTTGGTACAACCTCATAATGAATGGCATTACTGACATATCTGAGATACAAGAAATGCAGTACGTAATTCAGATGCAAATTCAATCTTGCTCAAATCAGTACACTTTCCAGAAACATTCCTATGTGAAAAAAAGGTAAAGTTTGTTTAGTTTGAGAGGACAGTACTTAGTAAACAAGACGATAAAAACATCTTTGTTAATTTTCTTGCTGTAAGTTGATTGTATCTGTGAATCTTTTCTCATCACCACCACATTGAAGAAAAAGTGCAGACTTCAACAGGCATAAAATAGGAGAACTGTTGTTGCTGTCTGTAATAATCCAATAATAGTATATCCTTAAGCAGAAATTATTACATTCTAAAAGAATCCAGTACATATTCAAAATGTAGATTTTTGTAAGGACTATATAAGAAGATAAATATAAAAGACAGGGGGAGGGGAGAGCAATGGACATTTGCATGCATCAAGCAATCATGCTTCAAAAGAGCTGGCTTGGTCCCCTCAGTAACAGCTGCAGATATAATGCTAATAATATCATAAAATAAGGCTTCACATATTAAAACAGCAACTTTTTTTTTGAAACTGCCCTTGATCTTTTCTCACACCGTATTTAGTAACAGCCACCAGTGTAATCCTCCAGTGTGACCTAAATATAGAATTAGATGTTCTTAAGAGCTGGACCACATGGGGTCTGCAGAAAACTGCTCTCCTAAATGTCAGCGGTAACTCGGTGATTGGTTAGATTTTGTCCATCAGAATAGAGAGGCAGTAAGTATTGATTAAAACTGTCAAATACTGACAGAGAGGCTGTGAAGTACACGCTTGACTACCGAACTGCTGGTGGTTCCACCAGCTTCAGTGAAGCAAGGAATGAGCATGCCTCCTGCCTGCAAGTCAGCGCTCGCAGTAAAGTACATGTTGAGACCGGAGTCCAAAACAATGATCTGGATCTCTTCTAATTATGTGGAAATTCACATCCATTTGTTTTCCTATACTGGTCTGCCCTCCCTAGAACCCAAGCACTGCTTTGGAAAAGTTTCAGCATGAGAACTCTCAGCAGTTTAGATTAAGAGAAAATAAGATTGCTTCTGTCACTTCTGTCCATCAGGAAGGAGCCTCATTACCTGAGTAGGCTTGTAATACATTGTTATGCCGGCCACATCCTATTACCATTGATTTCTCCATAAAGCTGATGCAATTATGGCCATTTAAATATTATCCTTCAACTATTTACTTATCTTGCTGGAAATAAATCTAAGCGTATCTGAATACAGATCAGTTGATTTTGTGGTTAGGCAGCAAGTAAAATAGAGAGATGCGGTTCTTTTTACTGCTTGTGGTTCTTTCATATAAATGAATCAGAATGGACACACACATATTCTATGGAAAATGAGATGCAGAGTAATTGCAGAGGCATTCAGAACTGAGTGGATTCGTATGTTTTGAGTTTCCACTTGAGCTTTCCACATGTAGTCAAAGATCAAAACTTTTTATTTCCCACACCAAAGAACACAGTTTGTTATAGAACACGGCCGGACCCAAATTATTTTCAGTAATGGTAAAACACTGTCATAAGTCTGGCAGGTAGGCAGATGTTCTGCAAAATAACATAAGTAAAACTCAAAAGGTTGAGAGTTCTTTCACAGACGAGTCACAGAAGAGAAATGTAATAGAAAAGTTTTATTAGCAAGACCATGTACCACCATTTGGACACTTAAGTGTGAGAGCTATGGGTGCAATCAAGCTTTTGAAGGGCTTGTGACAGGAATGTTGAATGCTATATTCACCGGGAGGACCACGGTGACAGACAAAGTGTTAACTGGACATCTGATCCCTGTAATTTTAAAACATTAAAAATTATCTGAATTAGCTCTATGCTTTGCTTCTGGATACAAGGAGCCTTTTTCCAGTTCTAACAAGGCTTTCTGCAAGCCTGAAGATTTATGAAACTCTAAATATTAAACTGGACAAAATAGCCATTTTGGTGCTCAGTAATGTTTGAAGAAAATGTACTGTGGAGGAAAGAAAGAAATATTTCTCTATAAAATTTCCTGAAATAGTGAAAAAGTAATCACAGTTGTTTGAAAGCTATACAGAAGTTTAAAAAGCAGGAAATGGTAAGAGGCAGCACATCAAGTACACTGTTCAGGCTAAAGAGCATCAAAACTTAGGCAGCAGAAGTGCTGGCGTATACACATAAACATACCATCTAAGGCCAGCATCAGCTCTACTTTTATAGACCAGGTAAACCACACTCATAGTGAAATTTATTTGTAGCACTGTACTCGGCACCTGGACTTCAAAGTAAAGCTGTGTTCAGAAAGAAGCACTGCATGTTCAGAAATCTTCCTTTACATAAAACCTTGTTTTTATTGGACATCAGTGAGTCAAAGGCAGATGGCTGATCTAATTTTAGACAGGGACAGACCCACCCCACCAGCAGCTAGGGTAATAAAGGGTAGCCAAAGTTATGAGCCCCAAGCAACAGATTTATTTTACCTTATATTCAGTCTCCAACGTCACATTGTTCTGCTTCAATTTTTCCTTCAAAGCAGGATCAACCTGTAAAACATATATATATATATATATATATAAAGTTTGCTTTTAAGATTTTTTTAAAAAAAGAAATTTACACCTCAAATAATCTAAGTATCAGTACATGAAATCCCTCCTCTCCTCTAAATATATGCTGTTTGTTTAGATAGTAGTATGATGAATATAGTGCAAGAACTGGGCTGGAAAGAGACAAGTCAATAAACTTTCATATCAAACCAGAAGCACATCTGTAATTAGCCCCACACTCGCATGACATTAGATAGTTCCACTTGAAACTGTTTAGATCGACAGTTTTGAAATAAATAAAGCCTTAAACAAACAAAAGAAAACAACAAAGAAAAAACTGCTATCACATTACATATTTTATTCCTGAATGGTGTGGTCAGTGAACAGGCATACAACACATTCTGCTTTACAAAGTCTACACATGAATCAAATTTCCAACTTTCTGGTGAACACACTGCTCTTTCCTAGCTTTGATTCTATACAATGTTGGCAATTACTGCCAACCTACAGTTAGTCAAAGAACTAACCCAAGAACAGAAATATGAGTGAACAACAGTGGATAAATTTCATGCAGTTGAGCCCAGAGGGAGCTGTGCTCATCCCTCCCCTTCCTAAGCCTTTCTTAAAAGGCCTGAGAGCAGAAACATTCTTCATCCTTAGAGGAAGTGTTTCGTCTTCTTTCTCCTCAAGTAGAAATCAGCCAAATGTGCAGTACTCAAACACAGTCTTTAGGCTAATCAGTTAGACTATCAAATCTACCATGACAAATCATTCTCATTTTTAGACCTTAAATACAAATGTTGTTAAACGAATAGATGTGTGAGGGGATTGGAACTGTATTAAGTTCTACAGCTATGGTTCACTAGTCCAACTATGAACAGTTCAATCTACGTAAGTTGCTATTCTTAATTTGCTGCTTCTTGATCTGACTGAAAAGTGCTCAGTTATCCTTATTATCGTCAGCTGTGAACGTCTAAGATCAGTCTAGAAAAGGAAGGAATACAAGTTAGAGAACTTGCCTGGCTTCTACCTTCAGATTCCTCCCTATTTGGTCTCCTACACCAAATAAAAAATGAGATGCTATGTCTGTGCCTTGGTATTCAAGGCCTGCACAGAACTGCCCTTCATTGCAGACAGATTGCCTCTCCCTTTCTGTGACTGTGACCTCCAACAACAGCCATGCCTCATTAGAGCAGCGAACCCATCCATCACAGGCACAGAGTGGGACCTTGCTGGGCAGCCAGGCACGCTGCAGAGCTCGCGTTTGCTGAGATGAGAGCGATCGCGGACCTCAGTGTGTTCAGAACTAAATGCAAACACCATTTGTTACGCTTAGCGTTCTCACAGCACACATATGGACAAGGGGAAATAAATGCTCCAGCAGGTGAAGAAGCAAGAAAGAGGGAGTATCATTTCCTCCTACGTTCTCCCTTCAGTTAATAAGACACCTGAGATAAAATGGTTGGAGCAGCATCTTTACTTAATTAGCTGCAGCCATAACTTAAGTCCTACAAGGTAAAAGGAAATGAGCAGTGAAGGTCCTTCCGTCCTCACACTTCCTTCCATATTTATTCTCCCCTCTTTGAAGGAAGAAGACTGGCTAAAGCAGATACATCCCAGGCATCCTATAACTTGTAACTGTTCCATGTTGTCTTTGTAATACTGACAAAAATGCAAAAATGAAAGAGGATAGTTTAAATTTCTCAGAAAAAAACACCACTACCCCACAAATGAGAAACAAAGAAAATCTACCTCTTTAAAAGCACAAATACAGCAAATTAATTTACTGAAAAAAAATAGCAGCTAAACCCTATCTTGAGGGCAAACAATGCACGCATTTTAGCAAGCGCTTAATATTTACTTGACAAGTCGACAAAAGACTCAAATCCAACCTGCAGAACATGGTGTTTTGCTTGAATTTGGACAAAAATACCAGGGAGCAAAGATGTATTTCCTCTTATCTTTACATTTCCTGTTCCCTACATATTACCTATGATGAATAACTAAAACACACTTGACTCTGCACAGAAATCGAGTCTCACGTGCTCTAAAGCCTTGGCTGTGAAGCTCCACTTCGCAGTTACCAAATCTAAACAGAAGGTCACAAATAATTTTTAGAACTAACAAGGTAGTTGAGGGAAAGCGTGCTCTGAAGCTCTGCTTTCCCAGCATTTGTACCACGCTGCATAATCCTTCTGACAATACAGTAAGAAAAAAGGGAAACATAATGGTCCTGTTGCCATTCTGAAAAGGCAGATTAACGTAAATATGAACCACAATCCCAGATTATACCAGGAACACTCACAGTGTGGGTAGAACCAGAGAAGTAGCACATATCACACACCTTCCACAAGAGCCAAGCACAAGCACGCACATTTTGCTTCGTTTTGACTGCCATGCCAACACACATGCTGCTGAAAGAGCTACAAGTATTCAGCCACGTGTTGAAATGAATCATCAACTATGCTGTGAATACAAATCCCCATTGATAAAGCTGATGGGAAAGGGCAAAGCCCAAATGCCCTTGCAGCCTGGCACTGGCTGTAACCTCTGCACCATCATTTAGGAGGCAGGCAGGAGCAGAAGACAACATCCACTTGCACCAGCCTACTGCCTGTCAGGCCAAATCTCTGATACTCCTTTAAGATCTATTTAAATCCAAGTTCTGTCACTAAAAATGGAATTTGAAGACGCATGTTGTTCTTTCAATTACTGCACAACTTGAAATTACTGCTGAAAAGCTACTGAAAGGCACAATAGAAGTATCTGGACAGCTTTCGTGAGAAGCCATCAGCATGGCTTGGATACCAGTACTAAAGATACCATTCCCCAAAATGGGTTCACCTCTTTACTATTTTTGTGTAGAGCTCATAGCAATGTGAGTGAAACATTCTCAGATTATGTTGCTCTATAGAAGTTCATTTTACATTACATCACTTGGAAACACAAGGGTGGGTATACAGACAAATCTCAATAAAAATTTTAAGAGCAAAGTTATCAAACTATAATTTTGTCTTATCTTCAAATTTACCCTTACTAAACTTCTAAAGGTTCTCAAGATTACCAAAGAGAAAGACTTAAAAAAACATCAGGCAGCAAATCACAAAAATATGCCTAGAAATATTAGTAGGCAGCTGCTTGAAGTTGTAAGTCCCTAAAATCCTTTTACAAGATGGCTCACCTCTCATATTAAGGCTGATGTTCCTGTCTTCCAGTATGAATCAGCTGGTTTATGCCCCTCCAAGTGTGGCTCTGGGTGCAGACCAGGAGCATCTCCTCAAGGTGGGCAGAAACACCTCAAACCCACAACCTCTACCGGGTTGGGGCCTTCTGCAGCATGCTGTGAGAAGCTGCCAGCCCCCGTGTTTTCTTGGGTAAAGGGTATTTTTTATTTGCGACACAAATATTCCTGGCATGGTATAAACCTAAGAGCACTGCTACTAAAAATTCTCTAGCTAACAACTCTGTGCTGGTCTTCAGTGACCACAGTTCATTTTGGTTTAGAAGCAAATAATAAATACAGTGACTGAAAGCTGTGAACATTGCTTATTTTACCTCAAGGATACCCAAAGGATGGCTCTGTCACCAAGGAGCCCAAAGAACACCACCACTACCCTCTGTCAGTACATTAAAGCAGGCGAGCAGTGTCACCTCCATTCAGTCTTCAGACAGCAGTGAGCTGATCCACGTTTTGATTTTCAAGGCAGCATCCTGTTACCCAAAACAAATGCGCGCCCAGCTGTGTAATTCAGACAGCCAACCTTCACAGTAGTTATCCTTCATTTATCCATACCTTCTCACTATTTGTAGGCTGGGGCTTTAGGGCAAGCCAAGCTGGAGTACAGAACATCTTCTAAAGCTGTGAGCTCCCTCATGCTACACAGCACTGCTACCAAAGGACAGCCATGCCATGAGGAGAGCCCTGTGCCTGAACAGGCCCCTCTCACATCAGCCATACACTGGTGTCCAAGGCCTGACCAAATATTTGCACTCCAGCCTCAAAAAACTTTCCCTCTAGCAAACATTTCCAAAAGACAGAACTTTTCTACCCTAAAACTAGGTAGTTATTTTTACTAAAACATGGGTATTCTTTCTTACCCAGTTCTCCACAAAATAATATCCCACCAAAAGATTTCAGCTTTTACTTTAGAAATGGGAAGGGCGATGGATGGGATTTAATGAACATGAATTAAGCTTTTTTTTTTTCTCCCCCATCTGCTCACACCAGCATAAACAGATGGGCCACAATTCTCCTGCAGCATCCACAACACAGCCCACAAAATTGACTGCTTACATGAAATCCTGCAGTTTGTTCTCCACACCCATTTTTGAAACCTAGTATAAAACAAAAACCACCAGTTCAGGCTGTCCCATAGAATATTATCTTCAAATACACAGATCATGTCTACCCCTCCAGATGGAAAATCAGCAGTCTTAAGCAGAGCAACTTAAATTTTCCTTGAGGAAAGACTCCAGTAAGTTGTTACAAAAGTCTGTCACAAATATTCCAACCTGTGGCTTATAAGCAGCCTGAGCAGCTGTGGACATGAGATGACACATGCCAGGACTGAAGCAGTGCCTGTAATCTACAGCTAAGTGTCATTTTGCTAAAGGCAGTAAGAGAATGGAGGTCAGAGCATCAGCAGGAGCAAAGGGCAAGGGAAGACACACCATTACATGTAGCTGCATTTCCAGCAGCCTTTAACTACATTATTCCAAATTTTTAATACACAGAAAATATGTATGTAAGGCTATTGCTCAAGCTTGGACAGGAATACTTCTGCATACTGAGGTGATATTGAGAACAAATCCAACAGTCAGGCTCACATCCTTTGACTCTTTCCTAAGATCTGCATAGAGCACAGATAGTCAAACAAAAAATATATATATTTAATCCAGCCTCTGACAGAAATCAATGCAGACATTTCCAAAGGAGCAATATTAAATCTTATTACAGAAGCAGTTCCTACAGTTTTGATACATGACGTGCCAGTAATCTC